CACCTGCTGGCCTCCACCACTTACTAATGTTACTGAATCTGTGGAACCTCCACAATAGCCACCACCAAACAACTGAGTTATTTTTACACATCTCCCAGCATCTGGCCAATCCACCACCTTTCAGTGTTTATACCGTTTCGGAAAAAAAAACAAAAAAAAACCAAAAAAACATCGGCCCATAAAAACGAAAAATCACCATCGGGCATACCGGGCAAGACAGATGGTTTGAAAGAGGAGTGAAAGAAGCCATTTACTCTGAGCAATTAAAAATGCTATGCAGCTGTTTGACAATGAGCTTCCCTACCCCCCAAAAAGAGAAAAAAGTCAAACAAAAGACAACTTGCTTAACTAAAATTTTAACAGAAAGGCTTCTCTCTCCTACAAGGCTGCTGCAGTACATACATTGAAACATTATAAGTTGTCTAATTTCTGAAACTATTTACATTTATTCACAAAGGTGTCATCTTAGCACTCATAACACCAGACAAACAAATCACTAACACACTGTTTGGTGAAGATTTTCACACAGAAACATTCAAAGCAACTATCAGAGCCACAGGCTGTTTGTTGGGTGGTGTAGGCCAGGAAAGAGGGGCAAGGTGGCTGTCAACTGGTGGTTAAGAGCTTGTTGTCCAATCAAGATTCAAGACATTGACAGTGAAGGTATTTTGGTGGTTGACTTTCTCAGACATGTATTTGTAGGAGTTCCCAATAATAATGACGCTCCAGGCGGTAACAGACGTTCCAGTCGTGTATTCCAGGCCTAACAATAACCATAACCTTATTCCTAACCTTAACCACAACCTTAATCATATTAGATAGTGTTTTCCAATGTGATTCCTGATGAGAAAGTAAAATAAATGTACATGTCTAGATTCATTCCAGACAGTTCTCATGTTTCAGAACACGAAAAAATACAGACGTATTGGGTGGCCAAAAGTGCAATATACTGACAATTTGTCACATAGCATTGGTTTGTTATGTTTTGGTTTGAGAATCTGTTGATCATGGGATAACCCATGCCCTCTAGAGGACTACGTCTGCATATAGCCCACAACATGCTAGAATTGCAATTTATTACACCTAGCTGGCCAAATGCAGTTTTTTATTTAGTTGTGAATGTGATGCTATTCCTTCAACATTTTGTTTGAAGTCCTAAGTGAAATAAAATGCTCATTTCTGGTAATTCTTCAAATCATTTTCTAAGTTATAATTTCATACTATAAAATAGTCACACAGTTGTCCAATGAATTCAGAATCATTTATTGCAAAGTTGGTTTATCAGTATTACCAGAATGTTGAAGGTTGCTTTGTTCCATATTGCCACCATTTGGAGGTACAGGAATTCCAAGCCTGTTCATAGTAGGGAGGAACTGGGCTCTTACCAAGTGTGTGTGTGTGTGTGGGGGGGGGGTGATATGTCTTTTAGTCATTGTGAATAAACTTCTGTATTTGTGATTTTTGTGCCTCAGAACTGATAAATAGAATATCATTGTCATATTTTGGTTTGGTTTGTATGGTTTGTTCTTGAGCTTCATAAACCTGAGTTAATTCTCCTGAACGTGGAGTTCAAGGTGGCCCTGTAAGAATAAAGGTAAATTTTCTTTAGTTGATTTTTTTTCCTTTGGGTTTTTTTTTTTTTAAACAGTGTAAGTTTGTTTGTACAAGTTTTGCTTTGGTTGTTGATACCACCAACCTGTGCTGCCTGGCTATCTGTATTTCTTTTTTGGAAATAAATTGCTCGTCGGGTGAAGGGAATCCCTGCCTCCACCCCATCTGTGGCCCTCTTACTGTGCCCCCTTGATAAATTTTGTGCTCCACCTGTCTCAGCCCTAAAGATCTCAAACAGTCACAGAAATTTTTAATAGTTTACTTTTATATCAAAACCACATTAATTCTTCTTCAGTGTCCTAATTTATCTGCTCACGATGCTTTCAGAAATAAAAATGTGTAAAACCTTCACTTACACATTACCTACAGAATTATTATTATTTAAGACACCGCTGCCTCACAGGATGTGTGCCCTTTTTTTTAAGGCGCTAATTTGTGTAACTTGATAGGGTAATTATTGAGATAAACTGAGTAGCTACATCTTGGTATAGAAATTAGTGCACTGTTAGTAGTTAGTATCCACTCCCGTGGTTACACATCTGGAAATGTGTCATAAGGCTAATTTGTCCCTGAAAATATTTGCAGTGTGCCTCTTTAGTAAAATCCAACAGAGTGACTGACCCAGGTGCAGAGCACTAGTAAATCTAGTCCTAAATATCATGCTGACAGCTCTGACCAATTTTTTTTTTTGTCTCTCTTGGTTTATTGCTTCACATACGCTTAATGTGTTTGTTTGGTAGCACCTTGCAGGGAAATGGCTAAAGATGTTAAATGTTGTTCATATTTAATTGATTAACATTATTTGTTTAATTCTATGACTGTTTCTCCCCTTGTTTTGGAAAATAAATGGGTCTGTGGGTGCAGTCCTGAGCAGCACTGTCGGTTGTAGCCATTATGACCAAACAAGGCTGCAGCGGTGTCTCCTGAGGTGATGCCCTTATCCAGTCCTTTTAAAATTTAAGTGATACCACAACATCCTAAGATCTTAAGTCTCATTGTCATGGTCAGACTATAGCAAAGCAACCCAGAACAAAAAATAAAATCTAAAATAATAATATAATATAATATAATATAATATAATATAATATAATATAATATAATATAATATAATATAATATAATATAATAATAAAATCTTATTTATGATGACTGCAGTACACAAGGAAGAAAAGCCTGTTTAGTTATATTGCAATCTCTTAGTCAATGAACAGGTTACATGTTTTGCTTTTATTTTGTCAAGTTTTTCAACAGCTGTTATTAAGCCATCCACGTGTAGTTTTTTAAGTCAGTCTATGACAAATAAGAAGTGAAATACTGCAACAAATCAAATTAAGGGGGAATAAATCAAAAAAGACTCTACTAGCGCTACTACTCCTATTTGTATAAGGATTAGACACAGTTTATCAAAATTTTTCTTTTTTCTTCACACAGGTGTTTAATGATCCCATCCATGGCCACATTGAGTTAGACTCACTTCTTGTCAAGATCATAGACACTCCTGAGTTTCAGAGACTACGAAATATCAAGCAGCTTGGGGGCAGTTATTATGTTTTTCCAGGAGCATCGCACAACCGCTTTGAGCACTCGATTGGGTATGTCAAGCGGTTCGCAGACACAGCAGTTTATATTTTTTTCAGTGTGTTGCTTAGTGAACTCTGTCTTTCCATGTTTGTATGTTTGTACTATACAGGGTGGCATACTTAGCAGGAGAGCTTGCTACAGCCCTCATGGTGAAGCAGCCAGATCTTAACATCAATGACCGAGATGTCCTCTGTGTGCAAATTGCAGGCCTCTGCCATGACCTGGGTACGTGATGCCTGTCTTTCACCATGCCATATGCTAGGCTTTTATTGATGGGTAATTTCAAGCATGAACACAATGTGATTAGTGCATGGAACTTTAAAACCCAACAATTTTTTATGAGCAAACACTCATGGGCAATCAGGGAGAAAACTATTTTTAAGAGGAAGAAAGTCCTGACAGAATCAATGTTAGAGAGGGAGGACATCTGCCACAACTAACTTTAGTAAGTGTCAAGGAAAGCAAGAAAAGAAAGCCACAGATACAGCAAATAGACTCATAGAGCCAGTAACCTCAGGGCAGGTTCAGAGGTCTGGATTTACCTGCCAGGGAGCACAGCGAGAGAGAGGGCCAAAATAACAAAGCAAAAACATTTTTTAAAAACCCCTCAATGACTTGTAATAGTAGTGCATAAACCAATGGAGCATGAATGTGAGGAGAGTATCCAGTGACAGGAATGTGTCATGTGAATTCCCAAATGAAGACAATATAAAAACAATATCTGAGCATTGTCTTTTTAACACGAATAAGCGTTTACTTGATAATATATAATATACACTTTACAAGTAATGCTTCTGCTCATCAAATAAAACATATTCTCTGAGATTTCAATGCTAGATATAAGACAATGAAGTACAGTTTAATTTAAGAGTCTTGCCTGGAAGACATTCACAAACCGGCTTTCACTTGTACACATAAAAATTACATTTATTCATTCACAACCTTCAGTAAAACAAAATCTACAGATCAAGATTTTAAAAACACAAAAAGGTTCAGAGCATTTTCTCTAAAGATTCTGTGAAAAAAAGAAATCAATTTAAATGAAAAATGTTTGATTTCTGAGTATGACTATCGTATAATCACTGGATCAAATTTACATACTCAACATTTGTGAGTGTTTATTTTGTATTTCTCCATAAAGGACACGGGCCCTTCTCTCGTCTGTTTGATCGTATGTTCAATCCTGAAGCAGACCCAGCAACTAAAGACTGGAAGGTAGGGGAAGAAAACAATCAATTCTACTGTGAGACAATAGACCTGTAGATTTGCATATAAAGGATGAAGGCCACTCTTTTGGGGATGCCAATGTTCACACTTTGGACACAGAAGACAGATGGTTTGAAAGGAGATGTGTCCACTGTGAATAACTATCGTTAAATAAACGGGTATGGCTTACAACACCAACTGCCTGTCACCTACAATGCAGTTTTGAGTTCCCTTCCCAGGTGCCTCAACTCCCAATCACATCTTACGCCAGGTGATCTAAACAGGCCACATGATGGTGTGAGGCAAGGTCTCACAATAGTTTCAAGAAAGGAAGGAGTCCAGTCACGTTCCTTCCAAGCGCTTTAGATAGTGCTAGAGAGTTCATTACATTATTGTCAAGTAACGAAGAACTACCCTGTGAAATTTCCTGTTTTATTTTGGTAGCCTGTTTCGTGTGAACCAAAAACCTGCATAGGATTTTTTGACTGTTTCTTATAGATTTTTACTTTAAAAATATTTTTTAAAAGTCCATTACATCAGGTTTTTTTTTTTTTTTGCAAAACTCTTGTTTTAGTTGTATTAAGCGTACAATTTACCTTTTAAACTGAAATCTGGTATCCAATACTTGAGTCAAAAAACCATATCCAATAATGATTTCTTACATTAATTTCTAAGAGAAGAAGAGAGATACTGTATTTCAAGAGAAATATAAATAGAAAATGCAAGGAATGGAGGGGGTTTGGTGTGAGGAGCTCAGATGATCATGTCCCAACAGGTTTATTTTGTTCATAGCCAAAGGTAAGTAATCTTGAAAAATTATGCATAGTTAATTGTAATAAAATACAGATTGTTTTCATCGCTGTTGCACTTTTTTTTAATATAAACTCCTCATGTTTTGCAAAAAAACTGTATCTGACGGAGGGAAATGGAGATCATTTTTGGATTCAGCACCCTAAAAAATTAACTTTAACAAAAATATCCTTTGCAGCTGATTTTTTTTTTTGCAGACCTGATTACAACCTGATTACAACTGATTACACAGGTCTGCAAGACCTGTGTAATCAGTTGATTTTGTTTATCTGGATTTGGCGTTTTCAGTGTAGAAACAATTCATCATTCATCCAAATGACTGAAGAACTCACTTAGATGAGTGACAAAATGTTTATCCTACTGAAAACATTATATAAAGATGAATAGAATCAAATTTCCGGAATTTCCTTATCTGGATGATTGAGCATCCATCAAGAGCTTTGTTGCCTCAATAACAAAAAGATCCTGAGTTTGATTCCATCACCTGGCCAGGGCCTTTCTGTGTGGTGTTTGCATGTTCTGTCTGGGTATAGCATAGGTGTGAATGTAAGTGTGATTGGTGTTCTGTCTCTCTGTGTTAGCCTTGCAATAGACTGGTGACCTGTCCAGGGTGTACTCTTCCTCTTGCCCTATGGTAGCTGGATAGGCTCCAGTGAGAATAGTCTGTTGAATCAGACCACGCAGGCCAGTCTTTGCTCAACAGCATAAATAAGCATCAAATGCCATCTGTGACCTTGTCTCTGATTTATCATTGTTTGTGACCACATTTGAAAGATACGGTACACCATGGACTAGAAACACCCCACAAGAGCTACAATTTAAGTAGATGCTCTGACCCACTCATTGAGCCATCACAATTTGGTGCTTGTCAAATTCGCTCAAATCCTTACACTTACCCATTTTTCCTGCTTCTAAAACATCAACTTTGAGGACAAAATGTCGATAATAAAAAGATAATCAGTGTCACTTCATATGTCAGTAGCCATCATGTTATGCCTGATTGATGTAAATAGTAATAATGTATCTCTTGCAGTATAAGGATGCCTCTATAGCCATGTTTAATCACCTGTTGGAGAATGAGGATAATAAGGTGAAGGAAGAGGAAGATTATGAACTACTACTCCCAGAGGACCTGATATTTATCAAGGAGATGATTAAACCTATAAAGAGTGATGACACTAAGGTACTGGTCAATTACTGTCTGAATGTCATGAAACCATTGCTTATTGCCTCATGAAGGTCATGAAGGTCAATTCTGGTGTCGTCTCCACAGTGGCCGTATAAAGGTCGAGATGAGAATAAATCCTTTCTCTATGAAATTGTATCAAACAATCAAAATGGGATTGATGTGGACAAGTTCGACTGTCTTGCCAGGTGGGACCTGTGTTGATGACATTTTATAAAACTCAGTATTTCTATATACAGCAAATCTTAAGTGTGCTTTGGAAGGTTTACCATAATAAATGTCTTTAAATTAATGTATTTCCTTACTTCTATCTCAGGGACTGTCACCACCTGGGCATCCGGAACAACTTTGACCATCATCGCTTCATCATGTTTGCCAGGGTGTGCGATGTGAATGGCAGGAAGCACATTTGCTCTAGAGACAAGGTGTGGATCCTTACTTTTTATTAACTTTAGCAGAGTAATTCATTTACCTGATTATCTGTGACAAAACTAAAGGTGTGCTTTCAACAGGAAGTGTCAAACCTGCATGACATGTTCCACACATGGGTATCTCTCCACAAAAAAGCCTACCAGCACAGAGTAACCCAGAGTGTAGAAATGATGTGAGTATCTCCAGGTCCAAATCTATACATATAACAGGGTACTGAGACTATCAGAGTTATATGAGATTTCTTTTCTTTTTTTTTTATCCAGGATCAAAGATGCACTTTTAGAAGCAAATAAGCGCATCAATATTGTAGGTTCAGGAGGGAATACGTTCCATCTCTCCACAGCTAAAACTGACATGAAGGCCTACACAAAGCTAACAGGTAGTGAATTCTAACTGTGCTATATTTAAAACAAACTACAAATTCATCTTTTAAAAAATCTGAAACATATTCTGTCAGATGCTAATTAAAACTTTTTTTAAAAATAGTCCTACGGAAAAGGGCTTTTCAGTTGATGGAAATGTATCAGTCTATTGCAGCTTAACTAAATGCGGATTCAGGATTACCTCCTCCAGTACCAACTATATGTTTTAGTTAAAAAGGAAGTTTTAAGTCTAATCTTAAAAGTAAAGATGGTGTCCTCTCCTGAATCCAAAATGGAATCTGAGTTAAGAGAAGAGGTGCCTTAAAGCTTAATGCTCTCCCTCCCATTCTACTTTTAAATACTGTATGAACCTGTCTTCCCATTTTCCCCTGTTTGCCCTATAAGACCAAGTGGTTGAAGAAATATCTAAATCCACAAATGCTGATCTAGAGAAGGCAAAGGGTATTCTAAAGAGGATCACAACTCGCGACCTGTATTGGTTTGTGGGTCAAGCCAAGCCAGTAAGTAAGGCTTTCATGTTCCTGCATTACAAGTCGACTATTGACAGTTTAACAGGGTGTTTTCTTATCTGAAAACTCTTTTCATTGCACTGTGAATATATAATTATATAATTAGGGACATACGATTTTGGGATTTTGTCTCTGTATGCCACCCTTTTCTGAATCAAACAATCAAGGTGTGATTAAAATGCAGACTCACTTTTACATGGAATGTAAAAGTGAGTCTGGAATGTAAAAGTGAGTCACCTGTCACAGGAATGACTTTCGTCATTCCTGTGACAGGTGACAAGTAGTTCAATCCATAGGAACTCTAGGTAACTGCAGTCTTGGTAATTAAAAATCATAATGGCATGATATAACAATCAGCCTAAATACAGATTGATGTCAGTATGTGGTGTGTGACTTACTGTTGCCTACAGAGTGTTTTAAATGGGGAATTAACATTTTAGAGACAGCAGAAACGTTTCCTTGCCACACAAAACTGGCAAAGCCTATGTCGTAATTTTGCCAAATTCCCTTTTCCATTTACAAAGTAAAACACCAAGTATTATGTAGAAAGTTTTGGAATGGCTCAATTTTGGGAGGTGATAAAAATAGTTTTAGACAGAAATGGAGATTCTGTTACATGTATGTGGCTTACTGTGTATGTGTTCTTAATGTGTGTTGTCACAAATTAGTAAATTCTTGTCTTTAACCTCCTATTTTCCCCTTTTCTGAAATCAAGACCATCAAAGAGAAATTTGAGGTAAGATTGAGAACTGATCATAAAACAAGTTTAACAAAATAATAATGACAACAATTAGAGCATGTTTTCTGACCTGTGTCCTTCAGGAAAGGATGGAACGTTTGAAAAAGAAACTGACTGAAAAAGCTAACAAAAAGGACTTTGACGAATCTATCGGGTTAAGAATCATAACAGCTCATAAAACAAGATAAACAAAACAATTATAATAACAATGTGAGCACATAGTCTCTCCGATTTTTCAGTAGTTTAGTTTATTTCAGTATAGGTGTATATGTATATATTAGAATTAGGACGGTATTTCATCACACTACATATTTGAGTGTATTTTGTTGGCTTGATGATAAATCTCCACTTAATTTGAATTGACTTGATCAATAGAGCATGCACACAAGCTCAGCTCCTCTGTAACCAGATAATTACTGAGTTCCTGCTTCAGTGTTTAGGCTAAGACCATGCTTAATAATGCAGCAGGATCATGAAGCCAATTACTCTGCATAGGAAAGGGGTCAAAGGGTTTTGAGGCCCCTGCAATGCAGAATGTTGGCACTGCCAAGGGTACGATGAACTATTCTCCATGATGACTAATTTGCCACAAGGATCATGGATGTATTTGGATCCCAATATCGAAAGAATATAGGTATTATCCCAGGTTTGCCTTCAGCATCAGAACTTTTAGAGTTTGAAGTATCTTTTCTACTCCCGAATATTCACCATGTGCATGAATGCCATTTTTTGGACTTCAGCAAAGATATTCCCATTCTAAATTACGTGAAGTGACTGGTCTGTGCTTGCTCAGAGCAGCACAGTTATATTGCTAGAAGCCCTTAAAACACCTGGGTCTGCACAACAACAGGAGAAAAAAAGAGGCTCCAGCTCACTCTGGACCAGTGGCAGCTTGTAATGATGTTGGGTGGGTGGGCTAACAAATACATTATATAGTTCACACTACTGGCAGCAGCATCACATCCTTAACAACACATTATAGCCAAAAGACCTTCTCAAACCAACACTAACAAAACTGTATAGAGGAATACCCAGAATGCCAGTCACACACACTCTCACACACCTTTGACTAGATGTTTCTGTACACAATAGCACATGCCTTTACAAAAACAAAAAATGCAAGAATGATGGCTGAATGATCAGAATGCCAGAATAAAAATATCAACATGCATGAGGGCAGAATGAAAAAAAGATAAAAATACGGTACGGTGTACGGTGCAACTCTTAAAGTTCAAACTTGGTTTTCCTGAAGCAAGAATCCTTTTGCCACACACCTCCAGGACTGCAATTCTCTAACTTTACCAAACATTGATATCTTTACACTATTTCCAGTGTGACTTGTGCTGCATTCGTGATTCCTAATTTTGTCAGATAAATGCTTCAAATCCACAATTCCTTGTTGAGTCCAAGCTGTGTCTCCTCCAGAAAGCAGGCAAGGGAAACATTAAAGTTAATTCCTACTTACACTCGTCATTAACCAGTCCTTTCGTTGAAACCACGTAACACAAAATTCACGATTCTGTAATTTGTCCCGTTGTGTTATTTGAACGTCATTTGGATGATTTGGTCTCAGTCTCTTCACTTCCACTTTTTCCTCCAAAGACATAGAAGAAAATGTACGACTAAGTAAATAACCCACTTCATTCATGCTAATGGCCACCGCTGCCGCCATAGTGATTTTGCCTTCAACGCTCTGCTCCCTTGTCTTGTTCGTCAAAATTCACGCCTCTTGGCCGAACTAATTTAGCCCAAATGGTCAGCATGATGTATTCCGTTACATTACTCAATGAGAGTAACATATTCTGAATACTTTGGAATATTTCATATATTGTCATGCTTTTAACAACTACATGAATGTACTATTGCTGTGTGATTTTTACTTTTTATTTTTACTGAATGCTACTTACCAATGCCAAGTAGATTTTTAAATCTTAATATAAAATGAGTAACAGTAGGGTGGACATTAGGTAAGGTCTGCTTTCAGAACTGCACATGATTATTGACAGTTAGCAGGTTGTGATGCAGCCTTCAGTAATAGTAATAAATTACACAGCAACAGTACATTGAAGATACCTTAGTGGCACATAACCCAGGTAGCTACTACAACTAAAACAAGTTGTTTGCAGTAGGCTAACATTAGTTAACATTAGTTTCCTATTTTTTTTTTATTTTTTAGCATTTAACCCTTTTAAAAATATGCTCCAGTTCATATTTCATTCCAGAAATTCAGTAACCAAGATATAAACATCATCTGTGCAAAGATTTATGTTTCTAAAGTGAAACAGTAAAAAATTACAGCACTGTCAATACATGAATATCCAGGCGTTGTACAAAAATGTACAAAATTGTACAATTTTGGCACACAATTGGACACCATGTCAGTTGAATTTTTTTAGGTATTAAAGAGCAGAAATAATTTAATTTTATTAACAGGCCTAAAAATGTTTGTTTTTTTTATATATATTTTTGAAAAATTAACCACACATTTACATGGCAATGGGCCTTTTCTGCTGTGCGCATGGAGCGTTCAACTGGCCTCTGACCCTTTAAGCTCTGAGGGGCTGTAACTTTGGTTTCTTTTGGCCAATTTGCATGATCTTTTTAATCATATCAGCGAATAGGATCACAGTAATGATGCCACATTCACGTAACTTCAACCAATCAGAAGTTGTAAGGCCAAAACCCACGTGATCCCAAATTTACTGCATCTGTTCAGTCACGTGTCTGTAGGTGGGTCTAAAAATGGAGGTTGCTGATGGAAATGGCTTTGATGCGGTTAGCCATGGTAACTGCTGATAATGATGAGACTACTGGCTACCGGCGAAAATAATGGAGGAAATCTCACTGTTTTAGTGCATTTTCGCCACTATGTGTTTTTGTGGGCTTCTTTTGCGGCTCTTCCCGTGAATTCTGGTCAGAGCTTGGTAAAACTTAGTGTTTGGAATTGGTAATAACCCTGGAAGATAACTAGCCTTTCTTTAGCCAGTTACATGAAGTCTATAGAATTTCTGGTTCGGTTTTGCTTGTTTAGTGGACTTGTGCGCATTTACGTAACCGCTCATTTAATCATGGCTTGTTTTTGTTGTGTTTGGTGGTTGTAGAAATGGTTTATATGAGATTTTAGCTGAGATTCTGAAGTTTTTGTAAATACCAAACATGTCGGGACATATATTTCTCACCCCATGTTATAACCGATTAAACGTGATCTCCTCCTTTTTGCCCCCGGTACCGGGGGAGTGGGGCTTAAGAGAACGCGAACATGTATTCTGTTACTCCTCAACACTGGATCCAGAGAAACACTGCATAAGCAGAAGAAAATGGATGGGTGAACAGTTACATTTTATTTATATAGTGCCAAATCCCGATAACAGTTGCCTCAAGTTGCTTAATTATCTAAAATTATAATAACACTGAAAACTCACTCACATCTTTTAGGAGAAGAAGAAAGCTTTGGAAGGCAAACTGACCACACTCTGTACTGAGGAACAGATCAAACTTGAAGTTACTGTGAGATTTTTTTTTCTAATTACCTTAAACTTTTACTAAATTCTTGAGTTTTGTTTGTTCTTATAAATTTAAGATAATAACTAACTCAGCCCTTATTTACATTTGAATTTAAATGCAGGCTTCCTTTTTTTTCATATTTCTTATTAGGTTGTCAATTTGGACTATGGGATGAAAGACAAGGACCTCATCAATAAAATATATTTTTATAACAAGAAGAACCTTAAAAAGGCATTTCCAATCCTAGAATCAGAGGTAAGAACTAGAGCTGTGAGATCATTCTGTATGCATCTCCATAAGACAGCTTTGGCTTTGTAATGATGTGTAACTTTTTTATGTGGCTCTCTTTGATGCCAGGTTTCCAAGCTCCTCCCAGAGCACTTTTCTGAGGCGAGCCTTAGAGTTTACTTGAAGGAACCTAAAACTAAAACTGCGAAAGATAAGGCAAAGAAGTGCTTCAGAGAGTGGTGCAAAGAAAATGACTTTGAGGTGCTTCTTTACTTTTATCTAATAGCATTGATAGACATTAATGTGTAACAAGCAGTATGATGAAAACATAACTCGCAGTTGAAAACTGTATATCTTGAATATCACATTCCTGAGTTCAGATTACACTAATAATAATTCTGCCATCTTGACTGTACTAATGAACTTTACATGTAAACACAGATCACCAAAATGGACGATGACGATGACCCCTGCTCCGGCGCCAGCACAATTCAAGTAACTGGCTAGTGAATCTGAACATGTGAAAGATGCATTTATAATGTTTTTCTGCTACTCTAGAGATTTTAAAAAAGGTCAATTGAATAATGAAATTAAAGTTTTGGGAATGGTAACTTCTTGTGTTTCTTTTTTTAATTTAAATTTAATTTAAATCTTAATTGATTTAGTTTGAAAATTTAACGTTATCAAAATATTACACATTGAGTTCTAATCTGTTTTTTGTGGTTGTCATGGTTGTGTTATGTTATTTAGCTCTCTTCATGGTAATTTCTTGTGTTTTTTTCATTTAAATTTTGACTGTGATTTAGTGAGTGAGTTCTAATCAGTTTTTTGTGGTTGTCATGGCTTTGATCTTATTTTATTTACTTTTTAAAATTGTTTTTCCTTTTATTTTACTTCCTTCATGATGTATTGATATGAAGTGAATTCTTTCTAATGGGAAATTAGAATAATTTTAATCAATCATTTTATGATTAAACTATACATTAAACTATACATCACATGTTTTTATCTTAATCAAACTAAACTCGCATCAGTACATACTTAGGCCAGTTATTGAACACTGTTGTGATTTGCTTTTTGTGGGAAAATTCGTTATTTATCATGTAGCCTGTCTCTAAGGAAAATATACCAAAAAAATAAATAAACATATCCATTCATTTCATTTTCCTGTTTTTCTTTATTTCTGGTGTATTCTAAACTTAGTTCCTTTCTCTCTTTGTGGTATGTTATTGTGAAGTTACAGCTCTTTCAACATAAAAGGAAAGTACGATACAAATGTTCAAATTTTAAAATGTACATAGATTTGCCTATACTGCACGTCCCTAAAATGCTTGCTGAAAAGAGCATCCAGAATACAAAGTCTCAGCTATGTTTTAATGACATGGTCACTGTTTCATATTTATTCCTTATAGAAATATCACCTTAACTGATTCAAAAGCCATATTTGTAGCTTGCTAGTTACCATGGTTTATTATAATTTGTCAGCATTTTTCTACAGCCTTTTTAGTAGAAAGGCTGCTAAGGGATTTAACTCAAATAGGAACTGAATAGTTACTTTACTATACTTTACTTGCATGATATAATAATTTGTAAATTGATCCTATAATGCTGTACTGTAAATATTGTAAATACTTTTAAAGTTTTCTGTTAGAACTAACTTGCTATATTGCAATATTATTGCCATTAAAAAAGTGACTTACAAGACATTACCTGCTGAGATAGTAGCCTAACTCGTACTATATCAAGAATAAAAATCCATTTGCAATTAGTTTGTGCCTATTGCTTATATTGTAGCATATTCTACACTGTTCTCCTACTCAACAGGCCTCACCAACACTGATGAGGACTGGTGCTTAGGCTCCAGAGAGATGATCAAGGTCATCTGACAGAAAAATCTGCCTAAAATTGCTCTGTCTGCTGTGGTGAATAATCTCTTGCAAATACAGAAGCTGAAAGAAGCTTTTACAGAAGGCCTTTTCTAATGTCAGTGTTTGGTTTGTGTCTGTTGGACTACTGCAGAAATATGACACTTGAGTCATCATGCAGGACACACTCACCTCATCATGTTTGAGAACTTTCCACACATCATGTCAAGAATCGCTGTGCGGCAGGCAGGAGATGGACCCAAAATGCAGGCTCTCAGACATGAGGGATGAACACAAAATCACAACTTTATTTGCTGGCAAAACTACACTGGGAAATCTAAGTTTCTGAGGAAACACAGGGAGAGTGACACATAGCAATAAGCGACGACGCACCACTGACACAGAGAAACACAGGACTCTATTACTCAGTCACTAGATTTAACACATGGTGTGTGAAATTTGGACACAACCTTTTTGTATGACGTCCTCTAAACTGTGTCTTCCTTCCAAGGTGGTGATCAAGTCAATCCGCAAGGAGCGCATCACTGACGACCTGGACAGAATTCACATTGAGAGAGATCTCAATCACATCTTCACTCAGGCACCCCAACATAATACGCTTCCATGAGGGTAAGATATCCAAGATGGCGCTGGAGTGACGGCAGCCTTTCCAAGTAGCTCTGCAACGCCGCAATTTTTCTTAACTTTTAACTTTTTTTAGACTAGGCTTTCAAACTTTATTTCACCTTCCTCTAGTTACTGTACTTATACCTCTTAGATATAGCGATACAAGATGGATAATGCACTTTTTAAAACTTCTGGAACCAGCTCCTTCATCTATTCGAGAGCGGAGCTGCTGGCACTAA